GAAGGAGCCTGGCGGGGAGAGCACGTGGGTGACGCGGGGACAGTCCCCTGGCAGCCAGCCCCCCCGAGGGGACCACGGGCAGCCACGGCAGCCCCCTGCCCGCAGCTCCCCGACATGAGAGAGAGAGAGAGAGAGACGGCCTGAAAACCAGCAGCGTGGATGTCAACACAGTGCAAAATGCTACACTGAGGGGAACAGAAAATCAGCTAAACAAAACAAAATGGGGAGTATTTGGCTACACATCACTGCCGTGTGAAAGGGGGGGCAGAGTGGCCTGACGGCAGCACTGTCCTATGAGAGCCAAATGTTGGTTCAGGATCCACGCCAGGGAGGCAAGTCTCATATCCATAGCGCTAGCAAAGCCTCAGCCTGTTGCTATGTCCCATTTTTGGGTGTGATTCTTTTGGAAAATGCAACTGGGAGAAACCAGACAGCATGCAGAGGAATGCTAAAATGGCAAAGCGCTACGCATGCCAGGGAATTTTTCTTTTTTTTGTCTATTTAAAAAAAAAGAAGTCGTAGTAGGGACGCCAGGGCTTTACCATGCACCAGTGGGTCCCTGTAGGCTGCAATCACTCGTTCTTGTCCAACGGCAGGACAAGCACTAAAACAACCTCAGGTGGCAGGAGACAAAGTCCAAGCTGCAAGTGGTCTGAGTACCGAGACAGGCTGTGGCGGGAGAGCATGAAATCGCCCACAGTGGAGCTTTTTAAGACTAGGTTCGGCAAATGGATAATCTGAATAATTTGGTCCCAGCTCTGAGCAGAGACAGGGAGAAATGTAGGACTGAAAACTACCTGAAGAGGACACCTAGTCTAAGAGGGGAGGGAGGGCAGTGGAGGAGAGGAGGCAGTGACCATTAAATCCTGTTCCAACCTGGCTCCTGGCAAGCAGAAATTACTCCTTGCCAAGCAAACAGCACTAAGGATCTCGATTCACTTGCAGGGGAGCATCTAGGCAGTTTACCACCTGCTGTACCTATCTGGATGTAGCCATCCGGCGTCCTGCGGTATTTGACGGCTGTGCCTCTTCCCTCCTGCAAGGCTTCCTTATCCGACTGCAGGCTCTGCGGGAAGGAGAGGAGCTCTGCACAAAGCCAGTGGCAAGAGCCACCCAAAAGCCCCAAGCAACAGCAGCAACCCCAGAGCTGCCCTCACCAGCAGCCCCTGGCGTCTCGTCCCTCCGCCTGGCACCCTGAGCCTCATGCTCCAAAACAAGAGGACATTTGCTGCTCTCGTGCTGCTGCTTCCACTGCACCATCCTGGCTCCATCCCGCCTCTGCAGCCATCCCATCCATCCGAGCAGCCCCTCTGCAGGCATGGATGGCTCCCATAGCGACTGCTCAGCGCCGCATCCCTGCTCCTGAGGTGGTACCACACCAGGCGTGACCCCCTGGCTCCCAGCCAGCACCTCTCAAAGGCACTTGAGCCTTGTACAGATTTTCCTGACGGCTTTAAGCAGTTCCCTTCTCTCAAACCTGTTTTGCTTCCCACTCCGCCCCCGTCTCAATTCTCAATAAAACACTTACATCAAACGGCAAAACCTCCACAGTCGTATTGAAGAGTTTGTCTTCTGGGTGCTCGATGTTTCCGCTGCGGAAGAAGAACCTGTGACAGAGAGCAAAGCCATGGAAATCCACACTGAGTGAGGGGGACATGATGGCTTTCACCCTAGCTGAACCATCAAACAGCTCAACCTAACAGGCACCTTCCCAAAAAGCCCACGGGCACATGGTTTGGAAGGAGACCTTCTGTGCCAGATTAGCCAAATCATGGATTGCTCACAAGCGCAGGAAAGCAAAGGGCTCTGGCAAACGTGACACCACCAAAAACGGGTCAAGTTATCCTCCCCCTGGAAGAGCAGCGCTCCCTCCTCCTGGGCAGCCAAGCAGGAGACGGGCAAGAAATTCAACATGAGCCAGAAGAGCAAAAGGAAAGTGTCTCCACATGCTCCAGGCTGTCCCCACGTCCCTCCCTGCCGACCCCCCCCCAAAGCACTTGCCTTTCAATGCGGAGCGGTTTGAAGAATCTGAATCTGATGAAGTCTCCAGCAGTGGGAGTGAAGGCCCAGAAGAAGTCCTCCCGCAGGTAAGCCTTCTCCAAGGTGAAGTGCTGGTAGGTTTTCAGGCTGGTGCTCACCTCCGCAGGAGGGTTGACGTGCTCCTTCCGCAGGGCCTGCTTGCCAAAGTCCTTGTCCTTGGTGGGAGCAAAGCAAAAGGGCGGAAAAGGGTCATGAGCTGCTCTCACCCGAGGAACAGGGGTCCCAGCAACAAGGCACCGCAAATTAAAAGCTCTCGATTTGCACAGCACAGAAGGATGAGGGATGGAAGTGATCTGGGGAAGGCACCTGACAGGGCAATGTGCAGCTGGATCCCAGGAGGACACAACTTCAGGAGAGGCAGCGCAGAGAAGCACTGCTGCTCTGCACTCTGATCAGCACCAAAGAGCCTTTCATTGTCCAAGTGTCCCCGAACGCGTGTCCCTGCCCCAGGAGCTCTGCAAACAGTCCTTGCACCTGAGGACAAGGTGGCTGGGAGGTTGATGCTAGCATAAAATGACTGGATTACACGGCCTGATGGGCATTGCACTGCGATACAAACTGGATTACACCACCCATTTACCTGGGATCGGACAGACACAGGACTGAGCAGAGCCCAGGGATGCATTTCTACAGGTCCTGCACATATAGCTGTGGGAAGCTTGATTTTGTTGATGTTTAAATACACACAAAAAATTTAAGCTCTTACAAAGCAAGCTCTAGTTCGCCTATCAGCAAATCCCGGGAATAAGGAGGGGGGTGGGAAGGAAGTCAGTTTTTCAGTAGATGCTTTGAAATCACTTGTCCGGATCATGGTTTGGCACTCAGGATGGGCGGCCAGGACCAGTACCAAGGCTTGAAAGCTTGCAGTGAGTCTTGGTACCTGTCACTGCCATGCCGAGAAGTAGGAGCTAAGTGAGCTCACTGTAATTCAGAATAAAACACAACTACTGCACAGAAATCCAGCTGCTGCTGTCCCAGCAGTTGCTGTCACTGATGTCCCCATCCCAAAAGCAGCCAGTTCCCGTGTGCCTGCGGGCCAGGCCTGGCAGAAAGGCTATCTGTGGCTTGGACAGGCAGCTGGTACCCACCTTCAGCTTCTGTATCTTCCCAGCCAAGGAGGAGTGGGTTCCCACGTGCTGGAAGAGCGAGGGCTTGAAGCGGATCCTCAGGTTTGCCTTCTGCCTGTCACAGTGTTTCTGAAAAGAGACAATCCTGCAGTGCTCCATCTCAAACCTTCACGGTCAACTGTGCCCCGCGAGAGGAACGGACAGGGGCACGAGGAGTGACAAACAGCCCTGCCCCTCCATCTCGATGCCTTTCTGTGTTACTTTGGCTTTAATTTGGCAAGAGGCCTTTTAACCGCACTCTGGAAGAACCTGACCGTGACTCTCGGCCGGTCACCCACCGGGCTCTGCTGGGCAGCCAGGCCTGGGATGATTCAGAGCCTAAGCGAGCAGGTAGCAATTGTGGGCTCTTCTCAGACAGGCAGAGTTTCCAGTTTGTTGGCAGATTTTGTTAGGCGGCTGTATGGCACGTGCCATTGTCTGAGCTGTTTGACTGTTTCACACCCACCCCACCATGTAAATAAACTTGGAGATGCAACTCTGATCCAGCCAGTGATTTTCCATGGGGTGGAGGGAGAGAGACAATGGAGAAAGAATAAAGGACAAAGGGGAAAAACACTGAGAGCATGGAGACTAGAACTCACATTTTAAAAATAGTTCATTTCTCTCAGTTTGGGGGAGCAGGACAAAAATACAGGGTTAAAAACTGGAGGGAGAGGGCATTTGTTTTCCAAATTTTGCTTTTTCCAAGAAAAGAAACACACGCATATCCCTACCACCATCTGCTCTCACAACCTCCCACCCAAGAGCAACCCCGGCAGAAATCCCGCTGCCGGGCGCTCCGTCACCGGCTGCCTGGCCCCAGGCAGGGCGTAGCGGGGAAAGCCAGCCACACCGAGCACGGGCCCACACGGGCCACCGCCACCGTGCCAGGAGCTGGGAAATTCCAGGCATGACCCCTGCGAGCCGCAGAGGAGATAATTCCCTAATCCAGCTCACGTTACATTAGAAAATTAAAACTAGCCATGCTAATGGGAGAGACCCTACTCATTGCCAGCAACGCCTGATGCAACCGCATCAGGCCTGATCTCACTCTGGATGGGGAAAGCAGGAAGAAGGGGAATGGAGGGAGCTACAGCATCTCCTGATTTCTCTTTCTCCCCTTTTCCCCTTCTGCTAAAGCACTATTTGCTGAAAGCAGCATTGTCTCAGTCGAGCCAGGATGGGGAATGGCTCAGTTGGTGGTAAGAAGGTCATCCTTTCACACGGCTCTACCCCAGGTAAATCTAAAATTAGTTAAAAAAGAAAGAGCGGAATATATCCAGAGCTGGCAAAGCACTTACCAAAAGCTCAGGTCAAACAAACTTTCAATCAAAAAGACAAATCCTCCCCGCTACCAATTTGATTCTGCACAGTGGGATTTACAAGGGAAAGTCATGTTTGAAAGGGCGCTGTGCAGAGTTAATCATGCAAACAGTGGGGGAAAGGAGCCAGAAATCCACAAGGAAAGTAGGTTAATTTTTAAAAAGGCAACACATTTAAGAGGTTTGCAGTTTCCCCTGGGAAAACCTTGGCTCCGCCAGGTAGGAGAAGATGAGTGAAGATGAGCTAAGGAGAAGATGATCCTGCACAGCAGGATCTGCATTTAATCAATGCTCAAGCTGGAGATTTTGAAGGGGGGGCCACAGACAGCAGCATCGTTCCCACCCCCATCCCAGCACTCCGCCACCCCGGCTTCGCCCATGGCTGTGAGGACGCTGGGAGCCGCTGGACAGGCCTGGGGACTGCTCTGTCACACCTGAGCACATGGTTTGAACTGCCAGGAGGACACGACGGACATCATCTGAGACTGGTCCTGCTGCACAGAGCCGACGTCACGGCCTCTGCCAGGGATCACGCCAAATTAAACCACATCCTTGCCCCAATTCTGCAGAGCCCTGAGGATGCCCTGCCCCCCCAACACATAAATATAATATTTATCCCCAGAGTGACCACTTGCTCTGGCATTTGCCACCACAAAGTAGTTGTGGCCATCAGGTCTGTCCTAAGCGGCTGGCTTCACGCTCCGCACAGGGACTCCGCTGCTCATTCTCTGCCAGGGGAGGAGGGTGAAGGAGCGTATGAGTAAATACAGTATGTTCAGAGAGGAGACAGGAGAGTATCTGGTGGTGAGCTCATCTTACATTTGCTGTCACACACACTCCTCCTCTGCCCTTCCCACTCGCTTTAGCCCCTCGCTGCTGCCGCCGATGGGAGTTCAAACACAACCTCCGCAGGGCACGGGGGCTTCTGTGCTGCTCTCTGCAAGGCTTCATGCAGCCATGGCTCCGCAAACGAGACAGCAGCATGAAAACAGAGTCCATTTCACCTCTCTGCACCCTCCTAGAAACCCTGACAAGAGCTTTGCGTGCTCTGGCTTCATTTTGGCACACTACGCACGGCAGGCTTGCTCTTGGGTCATCTGGGGTGAGCTCTCTGGGCAGCCTGCATGTGTGCTCCAGGCGGGTATGGCACACGAGCCCAGAGCCAAAGGGTTATTCTGGGGTTACAGTCAGTGAGTGGGGAACAGCTTCAGGGAGAGAAGCACACTGGAATGAAAAACAACACAGAAGAATGGGGAACGGCTACTCTCCTCGAGGACTGGAGGAGGAATACCCTGTTCGTGCTTAGATGCAGAAATAATGCCTTCCTGGCAGCTGCAGACTACAAAAGCATGAACTCCCAGGTCTTTGCTCACACAATCCACAAGGACACCCCGTGGCACACTGCACAGCGACGGCACGGTTTGGTGCAAAGTCAGTTAGCACCAGAGCTCACAGAAAAGATCCTCTGGAGACACAGACCAAGTGTACATTTGCCCACACACAATAGAAGGTTTCCCTTCAACAGAGGTTGTTTACGTACTGCATCTTTCTCAGGGTTGCAGACTTTCACCCAAAGGATGTGATCCAGCAGCCAGTCAATGGGTTTGTCCTTATAGAACATCAGGATGAACTCCACGATCAAGCTCAGATCCAGAGACTTGAACATTTTTCCTACAGCACAAAGAAAGAGAAGAGAGAACAGCTACGGTTTGAAACAGTCAAGAATCAGAGTTGGGAAGAAAAAACTTGGGAGACTGGGCTGTGGAGGTTGGATGTGTCCATCTCTCTACGTAAAGGAAATAGCATGCAGTTCTGTTTTATGTACCAGTACTGCTGGCATTGCTAATACAGTTCCGGATTTAATACGCATTGCAGAATTAGAAAGCATTAGTGTCTCACAGGTCACAACAGTATCGAAAGGTCTAATACTCTTCCATTCAGGAAGAAATAAGGGAGAAATAAGGATGAAAAACATTCAGCCAGCTGCAGGACAGACCATTTCCTGCCCCAAAAACTACAAGTTTTAAGCCAGTCAAACCAGTATCCAAAATAACAGATCAAGCTGCTACTGCAACCATGTCCTGCCGTTCCCAAAATAGTTCTGTGCTGATGTAAACTTCCTTTTGCACACTCTTAGGCAACTCCAGATCCCATCCAGCCTAAAAGCTACTGGTCACAGCTAAGCTGTTCGGCTGTCGGCTGGGCCACCAACCAGGTTTATTTTTACTAAAAGTGAGTATCAGCAGTACCAGCTGTGAGGATCTTTCTTCCCTGTGCAAACACAAGGGTCATTGCAAAAATAGGGAGGGATCAAGTCCAAGTATTTTACCATCTCGTGCGGACAACTCGTTGGACCAAGAGCTAAGTGCTTGCAAGACCAGCAAGCATTTGTGCCCGTGCCTGATGGGACTGGGGTGAGCGGGGGAGAACGTTACCAATAAACCCCAGCTGAGAAAACTCCAGGATCATCCACTCCTCGGAGGGCTGCTGCAAGGCAAAGTTCTTCATCGTGCTGAGATAGTTTGGTTTGGCCACAATATCATCCTCCAGCTGCAAGAGGAAAGGACACTCAGTGCCAATGACCCATCCAGGTTCCAGTAAGAGCCTCTCTGTGCGGAGCAATCACGCCGTAGACCGGAGGAAAGCTTTGGCACAGACCTAGTTTTTTTTGGAAGATGCTCCAAGCAGATTTTTCTCACCCAATCGAACAGGTAAATGAAATGATGATTCCTGCCCTCCCTAGGCGGGAGGTCTCCAAATCTAAAGCATCTTAGAAACCTAGCTTTTGAACCTATCTCGTTAAAACCCGCTCCCACTCTGCTGCATCACACAACTGGACATGCTCTTTGCCCTCTCTCAGCTGGGTACGAGCCACAGTGTCCAGGTACACCCAGCTCCCCTCCAACCCCAGCACCAAACCCACCTGCACGTAATATATGCCTTTGGACTGGGCATACATCATTAAAAAGCAGTAGTCGAGGTTCTGCTTTGTCCTCCACCTGCAAGAGACAAACACGATGGGAGCGCCGATCTCTCCTGGGATACCGGGCTGCTCGGGGGAGCCAGCCAAGGCTGGGTTTAAGCTGGGAAGGTGACACAGCTCTTGGAGGAGGGGATGGCATAAGGCCTCTCTCTTTTGGTTTCAAACCAGTCAGCTAAGAGTTACTGGAAAACTCAGGGACTTCCAAAATGAACACCATCTGGGTTAAAATGACCCCCTTGCTTGGTGATGGAAACACCGCAGCACAAGGCAAGCCCTGCAAAGCTGGCGCCAGCTCACACCCCTCCACACCAGGTCCTCCCAGCTCTCGCATAAAGCATGTTTAAGGGCCTCGCCTGGCCTTGCAGAAGAGCCTTCCCTGCTGGAGTCAGGGGGGAGATGCTGTAGTTATTTAATTCAGGGCTTGCTTGTTTTTAAGCTCATTGATTCTTACCTGGCGCTTTCCCTGGGGTCCCCAAAGGATTCCCGCAGGTGGGAGAAATCAGGATAGAAATGCGGAGACGGGGAAATTACCTCCAGGAGACCTGAGTGTATTTCCTTTGGGAATCTGAGGGAGAAAAGCAGCAGTAAACAAATACCTCCATGTCTGACACACCATTTCATAGACCAAATTGCTGGGTAAACACTGAGCCGCAGAACCAAACAAAAAATACAGCCTCTAAGATAAAAATTCCCCAGCAGCTAGTGCACTTCCAAGCCTCCCCAAAGGACATCAGCAGGGACTGCCACAGTTTTAAAGCTGCTCTCTGCCTCCCATGGTCTCTAATAGCCTCACATTCGCATGCTCCCCCCAGCTCTCCCTGCCGCATGCACACACGGGTCGGCTTTAAAGACCAGCTGCTAGCACCACGTACTCTCTACGGGATTAAACGGACCTGCAGACTGGCGCACCAAAGAAAGGACTTGCTGGCTTTACTGGCATTTAGAGATTTTCCAAATGCATCAGTAATTAAAAGTCATTTTGCAGAGATTATTTTATGCATTTCTGATAAGTTACTTAAAACTCTGCTGTGCTGTAGTTAGGACAG